GAGAGAGAGAGAGAGATATTGGCCGGGTTGGTGCAAATGGAGCTGGGGGGGGGGCATAAAGAAACGGGAGCACTTCACTTAAACTGTCATACCTGCCTTTAATTTAATGTTATGCAAATACATGTTTATTTGAACACATCTCTTAAGAGTGTCAACAACTTATTTATAGCCTCTGCTGGGATGAACGATATATGTGTCAAGGACACGACATGTCGTTTGTAACTAAGACAGGGGAGGTAGGATAACACTGCCAGAGGGGGGGGAGAGGCTGAGTTCCAGGGAGAAAGAGGCCAGACAGAAAATAAAAGGCCTCATAATGCCTGGAACCGATGTAAAAAGCGGAAGTTGCCGAACCGTGTTTGATGTTGAAGTGTTGAGGCGGAACAGAACGTGGGAACGGGAGAATGTGAGTGTATAAATGTGGGGGGGGGTATTGGGAGGGGGGAGGGGAGCAGTGTTGCATGAGAAAGAAAGAAATACTATGTTGTGATAAATAATATTATGGCCACCAGATTCGTAATCGTGAGGTTGCGGGGGTTCGAGCCTTAGTCTCAAAGTTATGTCCTTGGGGAAAAAACACTTCACAAGAATTTTCCTCATTTCATCCAACTGTGGATTGATACCCGGCCATAGACCGAAAAACATTGTCAGTATGTTCGTGTTTTAGCGCCTGTAAAATGGCAGCCATCCGGGTAGCGACCGAAATATTTTCTTCCCTAAAATTGTCTCCTTTCACCACCTTTCCTGCTCTCCAGCAATGTTCTGTCGTCTACTTTAGTCTCCACTTTCTTTCCCTCCCCCCTCACCTTCTGCTGTGCCTCCTCCTTTGTGCTCCTTACTCTTTCAGCAGCGTTTCTACTGCTACTCCTTGATTCCTTCTCGTTGCTGTCTTTCAGCCACACCCCTGATCTTCTGGTAGGAAAAATCTAACCCTAGCATTATCGGACAAGGTCCCATGTGCATTTTGCGCAAGGTAAAGATCCCTTGGTGGTCTAAATCGATAAGAGTAGGCTTCGGCCGCAACCCAGGCAAAATTCAAAGTTTCCTTCAAATTGAAAATGTTTAATGTGTCCCGCGCGCTGATTGCAGTTTGCAAGCGACATAAAACACTTACCAACAAAAAAAAAGGCAGCTTGCACTATATAATTTTTCAAAGGAAGTTGAGGTTGTTTCAGAATGCTATCTGATCTGTTGGGGGGAAATAATATAGATTGTAAAACATATTAGAGCTTGCTGCTGAGCGGAGATTTTTTACATACAAAATGCTATCTATTAGCATTATTATCAATACTTTTGGCAGGCGCTGTCTGTTTGTCTGGCCCTCCGTCTTGCCATCACGCTGTATTGAACCTCACTGTGAACATCAGACATATTTTTATACTTTGTAACTTCTAGCTTTTGTGTTTTTAACATATATAATTTCCTTGTATTATATTATTGAACAACATGATAATGATATAGTTACCTGGGCCGCTCAATGCATCCTCTCAGAAACCTGGCCAACCTTGATAAACGTTTTTTAAAAAAAATCCCAGTAATAATGATATGGTTGTATACTTTACTTGGCTTTTTGAAGTTGGTAGTCTGCGGTGTACAGGAACTGCTTAGTCCAATAGATGATGTAAAAACACGGGAGGGGGGGGAGGAGGAGGAGGAGAAGAAAAATGACGAGGATGATGATGATGAGGAGGAGGTGGAGGAGGAGGA